CAATATCAAAGTACAGCTGTACGGGTCGTTCACATGTCATATGAAAGCACTCCTCACAAAACAAATACTTTATACACAAATACAGTCACATACACATACAGAACCGTACAGTCTCTAATATGTTACCAATTATTATGTTACCCATGTCTTAGATTGGTGAAAGATTAATTTGCTCTTTCGTTTTTTCCAGCTTCTTCTTTTGTTTTTTCACGATTCACTCTCATGTTTGTCTGTTTCTGAAAGGATCTGATGTCAGAAGCACTTCAGTAATCATGCACACCTTATTATCATCAGCTTAAGAAATCATTATTTTAAATATAGATGCGTGGCGAGTGCACACAAGCTCTCTGGAAAAACCGCTGTCGCTTTATGACCTTGTAAAACAAAAACAGTACACATCAGATTTTGCTCTTCTTGGCTTTGTGGCTGTTCATCAAGATGACGACAAGGTTTGTTTGAGCTTGAGTCGACCATGGCTTGTTATTATATGCATATAGTATTTTGATATAATGTCTCAGCTGTATATTAAGAATGGTGGTTCCTTTGTTTTCATTCTTCTGGCTTGTGCACAAGATAGTGACATATTTCTGTATACCAATAGCGTTCAGTTGCATATCTAGCTTTTTTGGTACACTTTTGTTGTGTTAGGTATCCTCTCAAAAGGGGAATCCAAAACGTGGTATGGTAAAGTTCGTTTTTTGTGTATCTTTTGACAGTGAACATGACCATAATAGAGTACCATACCGTACCATAGCATACCACTCAGTGAAAATGGGCCAATAGATACCTCAAAGGTACATATTAGTACCTAAAAAAGTACAAAGCGTACCGCTTAAAATTTGCAGGTACCAATATATTCTTTTGAAGTACCAATATGGACCCTTTAAGTACAAATGTGTGTCTTTTAAAAAAGGTGACAGCTCTCTTACCTTTATTTTAGAGAGTGTAGGGGCAATTTCAGACATAGCCAAGGTCTTTAAACTGACTTGAAACTTCCAAGCAAGTGTGTTGGAGCAACTCTCGATAGCACAGATTCATATTAGATTAATTTTGCTCACAAATCTTTGCTAACTACTGGCGAATGTGACTGTGTCTTTGTGCATGTACACATAGCATAGATATTCCTGTCTGACATTCTCAGTTGTCAATAGCAAAATTACTCAACTGTTGGTCATAGGGAGGGTCAATTTTGCAAACCTTTGCATCTTTAACCACTTGAAATCATTAGAAGGTTTGCACTTGCATCGAGATTTGGTCAGTTGCGTATGCGTGTCCATAAATGTCGATACTCATGTAAACAACAACAAGGATTGCGCAGTTAATGTCCCACTGAACATGTTGTTCTATCTATTCATGCTGTAAAAACTATAGGTTAAAGCTGCTAAATGATATAGAAAATGACTTGGTATGCAGGAAAGGGTGCAGTATTTTGACAAACTGAATTTGATAGGTGATAAAAGATTCATATGATTAGTAGAAGCCTAGTATTTTACTTACTTGACCAGAAGTTATAAGAACAAGCATGAATCTTGTCAAGTTTCTTGCCCTGTTATTCCTGTTTCAGTGGGGTCAATCCCAAACACCTTTTGTTCCTCAGTTGTTTTTTGTCTCTTCTGCTTGATTTGTTATAACATTTGACAGTCGGTATCACTCTAAATGTTTTTTTTTTTTTTCTAGTCCAACCAGCAAGTTATATTTAGCAAAACATGCAAGTTTTGTTCGGTTCAGTGGCATTGTTTACGTTCTGTGCCTTCAAAATGGCCGACTGATGAGGCACAAACCATTCTATACTTTTGTTTAGTTCAGGAGACTCTAAGCTCTTAGTAAATGTGAGATAGTAATCAAAGTCTGTGAACTTAGTACTTTTCTGGCATCAGAGACCTACTTTTGCACTTCCATCCATCTCTGGATATGTTTTGTGCGAGCATGTGTATGTGCCCTGGAAGCTGAGCGGTCACATACTCTGAGAGATTCCCTGGCAGGGGCTGTGTTTTTTTGGCTGGGTTGGTTCCAGCTTAGGGAGAGAGTGGAGGGTTAATGATTAGTCTCATGCTCTGTGTGGATCAAGGGCATGGGACTGTAGGGGCCTGGGGGAAACAAGAGAACAAGAGAAAGGCAGAAAGAGAGCACAAACCAAGAACACAACAGCTGAATCACTCATCACATCTATATTCATGCTCAGCTCCTGGAACAAACCTATATTTATGCACCAGTTCTGCGTTCTCAACATTCATTTCCAGTAATAAGTGTATTGTATATTTAATAATAACTAATCATTATCACTCAGTCCATTAAAGTCACTGTGAAATCAACATTTCCAATGTTAATTTTGCTAGCGCACATTGTTTGGTCACACTTAATTTGATGATCTGTTTGTTGAATTTAAGTTACTTTGCATCTACATGCCAACTAATTCTCATTAGATTATAAGTAGACTGTTAGGTTAGGGTTAGGGCTAGTGTAAGTTGACATGTACTTACAAAAGATCTTATAGTTTTATTACATGCCTGTTGAAGGAGCACTATCAACAGACATTTAGCAGACAGTGTACTTATACTCAAATAGACCATCAAAATTAAGTGTTACCCACAGTTTTTCCTTAGGTGAGTAATAATCAGTTAATCCACTGGAAAAAAAAAAAAATTAGCAATCAAGCTCAATCAAATTCTGATCAATTGCTTCCACTTTTGGGGTCATTGTCCTTTTGGTTTCAGCAACAATATTCTAAACCATAGCCCTCTTAAATTGAAGTGACAGACGAATCTCCACTTTGATTCCTTGGGCAGTCTGAACACCCGCCGGTAACTTACACCTACATCTTCTCCACGATGGACGTCCAGGATTCAGCCTGTGGCACTTAAACTGTAGCTCTGCACAAGATATTTGGCCAGATTAGAAATGGTCGTGCCCAACTGAGCTTGGTTTCTCTCAAGGTTTTTTCCTTTGATTTTGTCAGTTGATGAAGTTTATTACTGTTGCCATTGGCTTGCTTAGTTTATGACTTGTGGAGCTGCACATTGATGGAACTAAAACTAAACTATAATCAACTTCAACTCTGAAAACTGCACTTACACCATTTCAATTTACTTATTAATTATGTTTAGTTTGCTACAAGGGAATGATGTGCTAATAGAAATCTCTACTCTCTACTCAATATTTCATTACAATTGGAAGTATGTTAACTTACTAAAATAAAGGTTTCAGCAACATCCAGATCATGTGGACTTTAAGGTTATTGTAAGTGATTTTTTTTACTTGCCAGGTGGCTCTAAATAGACCAAAGAAACTGCATTTGCCTGTGTGAAAACACAGAATTGTGTAAACTGATTTTTTTTTTTTTTTTTTCGAAAAACTAGTCAATCAGAAACACCAAATGTAAAACATTTGCTCACTTGGCTCTCATTTTTTTTAGATATTTGCCAAATAAGTGGAAATGTACTGAAATTGATTACAGCACTTTATATAATATATATTATATAATATATAACTTCATAAAAGTTTCAATTTGTATTTTATTAATTCCTAATTCATGTAGAAATTAAATAATAGCAGGCTCAAGATCAACTGAAAATGGTTGTCTCGGCCCTACTCCAAACAAACTGATGAGTTGGCCACTTGTGGTGAGAAAGCAATATGACCCAAATGACAAGTGAACCAAGCTTGTCATTAGAAATGCATTGAATAACTCTGGAACAGCGGCAATCAAGGCTAAAATACAGTATATGTGTGCATGTTTCTGTGTCTGTGGAACAAATGAAACCAAGGAGTCTGTATTTTAGACAAAAGCAAAACATTCTACTGGTCCCTTAGACAAAATGTAATTATAGACATTTGTTACTTGCGTATGGGGGACAACACAGTGGCTCAGTGGTTTGCACTGTCGTCTCACTGCAAATAGGTTGCTGGTTCGAGCCCCGCCTGGTTCACTTGCCATTTCTGTGTGGAGTTCTCCTTGTGTTCGTGAGGGTTTCCTTTAGATGCTTAGGTTTTCCCCCGCAGTCCAAAGACATGCGGTATTGGTGAATTGAATAAACTAAAATGGCCGTAGAATATGTGTGTAAAGGAATGTGTTTGGATGTTTCCCAGTACTAGGTTGCAGCTGGAAGGGCATCGGCTGTGTAAAACATGCTGGATAAATTGGAGGTTCATTCAGCTGTGGCAACCCATGATTAATAAAGAGGATAAGTCGAAGGAAAATGAATGGTACTTAAATGCTAGAACATACATTTTATTGCCATCTATTCCTCGAATGACTTTTATTTTGATCTGTTTGCTTGCTAATTTCTAACTACAGTGGTCACCCATTCACTTGGAACAACATCCTGGTTCAATTGCCTAGAAGTTTGAGTGTTACTGCCTACTGTCATAATGTTTAATCTTTAAATAAGTAATTGTTCAACAAGGAAGTAGAAAAAAGTCAGACACACTGAAATCAATTCTGTTAGGAATTCTGGAAGGAATAATCCAAGCAACAGTAGTGTGCAGAACTTATTCCACTAATTGTTTTTCTACTCTACTTCTATTGTCTTTCCAACACACCTGTTTGCAACCATCCAGGTTAGCAATGGATTTGTGTGTTTTCCTAAAAGCGAAAATCCCTTGCACACTCCAAGTGAACCATATCCACTGCAAAATTCGCAAGAAACTTTCCAATCTCTGACCTCAATCCTGTATTCTTCAGGGTCTTTTCTTCTCCACATGCCTCATCTATCCAGGCTGTCATTCTCTTTCAGCCCCCACCCTTTCCTTTACACTTTCTGCCAGAGCTATGCGTGGAATGTCATCTCCTTGGGCTGGATCTCTATTCCCATCAGTAAGATCGAATGACAGTCTCAGTATCTAAGCCACATTCATGATTCTAATTGCACATAATAGAGCATTAAAGATGTATGTGTGTCTGATCGCGTGATGCCAAAGAAACACTGAAAGACAGAGAAGAATGTTCCTCTAGGTAATTCCGAAAGGAACATTAACTCATGTGTATGTCTCTCTCTTGACAGCCTCCATTCCATTCTTCGCCTGTGAGCTCAAAGCGGTGACACCATACATGAGAGGCTTCTTCTGCGGGGATACCAGCATTACCTACCCTTACATAGAAAGTGAAGCCATTCCTGATAGCGTGCTTATAGCCGGGGGCATCATAATCACAGGACTTACGGTGAGAATATGCACACTTACAAAAATATCACTAGCTGAAATCCCTTCAAGGTATTCTGCACCCTACTGTTTTCATCTACTCACCCTCAGGCCAGACATATCTTCTTTCTAGGAACACTAAATTTTTTCAAGAAGTGTATTATTTTCCGTGGAATTGCAAAACATTCCACAAAAACAAAACAAAATAGGGTCCAAAACTAAATTAAATGATTACAGTAATAGTATAAATGACTTGTGCCTTCAGAAGACTTATTTAAAAAGGCCAGGGCAACCAGTTTGATTTAAAAACCAAAAGTAGTGACAACTAAACAAACTTGTTGTCTTGTTGCTGTGACTTGCATCTAGGCCCAGCAAGTTGTTCTTCAGTTTACCACAAGTCTACAGCCTGTGGCTAACTAGCACAGGTGTTCTTTACCTGTGCTGGAGGAAATAGCTGTCCAAAGCCGCAGGTGGCCATAGTCTGAAACAGGAAAGTCCATGTCTGAAAAAGGAGTTTAAGGCCCCGTCCAAAATGACAGCTGTCAGGCAGATGTCTAATGCTTATCTCACCTTAATGTGGGCTCAGTAAAAGTGCACACTGAGGTCAGTGCCAATAGCCTAGTGATAAAGTGTGCCAACATATAGCACTGAGATGCTCACGACAACCTGAGATTCCTGGCTTGAGGTCCATCACCGATACTTCCCCTCTCTCTGCTTCCCATGTATTCCTCTCATTCTCATTTCTACTGTCCTATATAATAAAGGTGAAAAACCCCTAAAATGTTTATAAAAAACTGCACAATGAGGAAGAATAGAGGGATTACTTAAAAGGGATGCTAGTGATCAGCCTTCTGAAAACTAAAACGATCAATGGGACACTCTACATCAGGTGTCACCAAGCTAGGTCATGGAGGGTTGGTCACTTGCAGAGTTTAGCTTCAACTTACCTCAAGTTCTAAGTGTACATGGGCAGTCGTGACCTAATGGTTAGAGATTTGATTTGGGATCCAAAGATTTGAGGTTATAGTGCCAGCACCAGAAAGGATTTTGAACAAGCAGCACTCTCTTCCACAAGTCACTTTGGATAAAAGCATCTGCTAAATGCTAAATTGTAAATCTAACCTAGTAAGAACTTGATTTGCTTGTTCAGATGTTTGATTAGGGTTGGTCCTAAAATCTGCTGTAAACTGGCCCTCCAGGACAGAATGTGGTGACCCCTGCTCTACAGTCTAATAAACTTATTACACACACATGCACGTCACAGCAATTTTAAGACGATGTGTGTTTTGGGACAGGATGAAAAGTTCTTGTGAAATTTGCTTACTTTTGTAACTTTAATTTTTGTTCTTGTGTGTAAATCAGAACAAAGCTGAATCAGATGGCAGTTCAGCTTTGCCAGTCAGCTAAAATGGCCTGTTGTGAAATATGGAGCAAAAACTAGTTTAACACTATTCAATCGTGGACAGACAATAGTATGTTAAAGTACACTACCTGACAAAAGTCTTGTTGTCGATCCCAGTTGTTAGAGCAACAAATAATAACTTGACTTCCAGTCTTTCAAATGGAAAAGTGGCAGAAGATAGATTTTTCTAATTAATCATCTGTTAAATTCCCAATCATCACAAATAATGCAGAGGACCCCTTGGAACCCGCAATGGACCCAAGCATCTCACAGAAATACAGTATGTTAAGTTGGGAAAAATCATGATTTGGGGTTACATTCAGTATGCACGAGATCTGCAGAGTGCATGGCAACATCAAGGCTTTTGTCAGGTGGTGTATATGAGTTAAACATAACCTGACCACTCTTATTTGTTAGCAAATCACTCATTTGAAAGATTTCTCTCAAGTCTTATGAGCAGGATAAGGAAATATATGCTGGACGTCAATCATAATTATTAATGTCTTTTTTATTTCCTATTTACCCACACACAACAATTGTAATAGTTTGTGAATTACTTCAGTGCTGTATAATTGTAATGAGTGAAATCTTATAATTTAACATTGTCTTTTTTTGCACTGGAAGAAAGTAAGTCATCAATTATAAACAACATGACAGATGACAGATGCTCATGCATTTTTTTTTTTTTTTTTACGGGGTGAACCATCCTTCGAAGAGCCTTGGTGTTCACAGTAGTATTAGCCCACGGTTCTCCAGTTACTGAGGGCTATTGATTTACTCTTTTCATCTACTTCGCTATTGAACAAGAGTCTCTCTTTGTGCAAGAACGCATGTGTGTGTGTGTGATGCTGTGAATTATTTAAGGCTTCATGGGCCTTGTAGTGTTTAACTCAGTGTTGCATGGCTGTAACCTCAGTGGTGTTCCCTGTTTGTTTCAGATTGCAGTTGGAGAGTGTTACCGGGTACGATTCAGAGATGTGCACTCACGGGCATTTGTACGCAACCTCTACGTGTCCTGTCTCTACAAGGAGTTGGGCAGCTTTTTATTTGGCTGCTGCGTGGGGCAATCTTTAACCAACATGGCAAAGCTGAGTGTTGGCCGACTCCGTCCCCACTTCCTGTCGGCGTGCAATGTGACCTATGAATCACTTAACTGCACACCCGGAACCTACATCTCACATGTTGTCTGCAAAAGCTCAAAAAAGATAGTGGAGGAAGCCAGGTAAGTGGTGGAAAAGAGGATTTTTTGAAGCTGTGAAGATGAGATGAGCTCTGTTCCAAAACCTAGGCTGCCTATGAAACTGCATTCTCTCTGAGTAGTTATTTCTTTTGAAAGAGCACTTGATTTGCAACTGTTTAATGTATATTATTTTGACCTTGGTGGCAGCCCCTGTTAATTAAGGGACTATGCTGAAGTAAAATGAATGAATGAGTAAATATTGACCTTGTTCTTCATGTATGAGCAAATCTTTGTTGCTCGGGATTTCCAGTCTCTTTCAGGTCCATTAATTTTTTAACTTTAAATACTTGGTGTTTCCTACAAGTCCCAAGACATGCGGTACAAGTGAATTGGGTTAAGCTAAATTGTCAGTAGTGTATGTGTGTGAACCCAGTTACGGGTTGCAGCTGGAAGGGCATCCGCTGCGTAAAGCATATGCTGGATAAGTTGGGGGTTCATTCTGCTGTGGTAACACCAGATTAATAAAGGGACTAGGCTGAAAAGAAAATGAATGAATGAATGAATTAATGTTTTATTTCAACCAGTGCCTTAGGTATTAATCACAATTAGGTATTTCAGACATTGCAATTCCTAAGTTCACCTGTAAGCTTCTGAATTTTCTGCTAAAACCAGAATGCTACAATGGATCAAATGGAGACATACTCCAATGTCAATCTATAAATTTGTAGAAAAGATGAGCAAGTAATTTTGAATCTTGACTGTTAGAAATACACTTTAAAGTAAAGCAACCTGTTATAATTTGTTAGGTGAGATATCCATACAGTGATACAGAACTTACTGACTTAATTACTCCCAGGGCCTTTTATATCGAAGTTGATATTTAGATGCACCATATTGTTTTTTTGTAACATCAAGTGTCTAGTATAAGAGTCAATCAGTGATCGCTATTGACCAGGGATGTCAAACTTAATTCCTGGAGGGCCGCAGCTCTACACAGTTTAGTTCCAACCCTGCTTCAACCCACTTACTGGAAGGTTTTAAAGAAGCCTGAATGACTCAATTAGTTTGATCAGGTGTGTTTAATTAGGGTTGAAGTAAACTGTGTAGAGCTGCGGCCCTTTAGGAATTGAGTTTGACATCCCTGCTATTGACTGATGAGTCTCTGGGGGAGTTGCTTGAACCAGAAGTAAATTTCTGCAGATTTTGTGATTCAAATGTTTAGAAATTAAACTAAAGCCACAGTAGTTGTTTCATTGTACTGTTGATTTCTGATATGAAATTTAATCGTAAGCTTGGAAAGCAATTTTGAAGAATTTAATGTTTCCCCATTCAGACAGAATGTCCGAGCATACTGCCTGAGAAGCATAAGATGGATGCCAAGGGAAATTACTTGCCTTAAAGCAGGCATGTCCAAACTCTGTCCTGGAGCGCCATTGTCCTGCAAAGTTTAGTTTCAACCCCAATCAGACACACCTAGGCTTGCTAATCAACCTCTTACAAGGCTTTCTAGAAACATCCTTGCAGGTGTGTTGAGGCAAGTTGGAGCTAAAATCTGCAGAACACCGGCTCTCCAAGACCGAGTTTGGACTGCCTTAAAGGGACTTTGCTATAGTATCAATAATGGGGTTTCATTGGTAATGAACACTAAAATATTGGAATTAAGCCATCCCGACATCGCCATCTTGCATTGCGGAATTGGATAAATTTGACAGTTCTTTATAATTCGCCCCAAAATTAAATATCAAAGACTTTAGGAACTGCTCTATTTATGAAGACTTGATAAACCGTCTAGGTTGGGGGCTTACTAGATTTTGGAACAGAGTTTAAATCACATAGTTTGTTTTATGTGAATATAGAGGAATTAATTTAGAAAAACATGTATGCTTGTGATTGCCTAATATAACATCATGCAGACAATGTTACGAGCCATAAAGCAGTGCAGTGGTTTAATGATTTGCAAGATTATGACATTTGGTTAGTAATATTTCCCTTCTGCTCTTCCTAAACAGAAAATCCTTCTTCTCGGGCCATGCATCTTTCGCCATGTACACCATGCTTTACCTGGCAGTGAGTATCTCTGTGTGTGGGCATGTTTACCACAAGCACACTCATACACTCAAACACAAGTCAGGGTAGCGCTGAACGCCTGTGCTTGCTGCTGGATGCTGCTGCAGAGCTTCACTGCTGTCAGCTTTCACTTCCCATCCCTGCCATGCGGGAGAAATGCCAAAAATTCCAACTGACAAGAAAGTCTCTCAAACTTCAGCTCACACAAGCGCACACAAATACACTCAAACTGAAAGAAGAAGGCTCTGAGAACGCAAAAAAACTCCCAAAAGGCATCTTGCTTCAAGCGGAAAAGAAAGGCTTGAGTGAAAGGGGGAATGTTCTCCAGAGGCCTGATGAATAGATGAGTGGAGAGAGGGAGAGCGAGGGAAAGCTAGCCTAAGACAGAGGAGGCCTTGTTTAGTTGTGGGTTGGGTCGGGAGGGGGGAGCTTTGGCCTGCTGAGAGATAGACAGGCTTCTTTCAGTTAAACCCCTCTCTCCCGCTCTCTGTTATGGCCTGGGGAAGGGGCACAATGAGGGGGAAAAATGACAAAACACTCGCAAATAGTCATAAAGCTTGACATTCAATAGCATTCGCATTTCTCTTTCACACAACTGCCCCACAAACCTTATCAGAATTTATTCTGCCTTGTGTGCCAATCTTGTTTAGAACGGAGGGAACAAAATTCGCCCCGTTGTGTAAAAACAAGCTATTTTCTGCCATTCATCTGATTCAATTCACGGGCCTCTGGCTGCTCTAAAAGCAGGAGAGCTCTTCAACTCTCATTAGAGAGCACTGGAGAGAGAACATGAACAGAGTGAGGGAAAAGCCTATAGTCAAGCTGTGCCAGGCTCTTTGTCCTTTCTGCCTGTTTTTTTCTCTCTGGTGCATCCAATGGCTGCACTGTTCAGGCTCAGCCCTGCCTTGCATGCCTGACCTGCGGCCACATGGTCTGGCACTGCGCACCAGCTGCTCCAAGCATTACAGCAGGAAGCCAAACACCTGTGACAGGGGTGATTTGAGGGGTATGAGGACCCCTAAAAGTTTGGAATGTTTCACAGTCCCTGGTGTGACATCAATATCCATAAACTTTATCTACAGCCAATGCTTATGCCGTGCCAACTGACCCTGTTATTTCCTCCTGACATTCGTTGTGTAGTTTAGCTAGCTCATGTGTGTGTGTGTTGTACTGGGGGCTATTTTGAAAGCTAATAGCTGCATCTGAAAGCTTTAAAAGGCTGCCTTCAGAGGTAGCCTTCCAAGGCAGGAAGACTTCAAGGCTGAAACCAAATTCTGCATCACTTCTTCTTCCGAGGTATCTACTTCTGATCGAATTTTATCAGCGTAGATGTGTCCTTCAGTGTCTTTAATATCCCACAATGCTGTGCATTCCATTTCGGACAGTTTAGCCTAAAATAAAAAAAATAAAAAAAAGGTATTTCGTACTGCCGCTTGAGAGTCATTTTGAGAGTAAAGCCTGGTTTATACTTCTGCGTGAATGATCAGCGTGACCCACAGCCTTGAGCGTTGCCGTGCATTTATACTTCTGCGTGCTGTTTCTGTTGCTGTGCAATAACACTTCCGAAACACTAGCTGGCAGTAGGTGTTTATGTTCCTCCATGTAGAGTTTCTTCACTGGTGTTTTGATTTTTCTGACGATACATTAGGGCGTACTCACACTATGTACAGTTGCCCTGAACAAAGCACGCTTGTCCCCCTTTCCGTCTCCCCTGATTGCCCGCACTTATATTACATTTGGGCCTGGGCATGCTTACATCATTGCTGATGCGCTCGCTGTCAATTAAGCGCTCTCGCTCAGCACAGTGGAGATTTATTTAGCAATATTGGTTTAGTCATTTGATATGCAGTGACGCAGTCTAATATTTCGCCAAATAGGTCAGCCACTTTTGACGCTCATAAACAATCATAAAGTCCTCGTGCTGCAGGAATTAGGAGGTTTGCTGAAGGTGCAGCTGTGGTGCAGTGAGGGGTTTGCGTCTTTAAAATCTAAGACAGTTTGTGTTTATTGAACAGTAAGAATGATTAATGAATGCATACAAAACAGTGCCATAAAAGTCACGTCTCATCTTCAGTTTCAGGCTCTGGTGCGCTTTAAACTTACACTACAAGCATACCGCACCTGAGCACAAGTGAACCGTGCTCTGGCACACCTCTTCCAACCGGGCCAGGGCCATCAAGTGGACCATACCTGAGCCCGATTACGAGCACTCACACTTCTCAAACGACTTGGGAAATGGGCCTGGGCACAGTTCGGATAGCATAGTGTGAGTTGGGCATTAATGTACAAGTGGCTCAAACTCTCTTATTTTGAGGCTGGAGTCAGCGTACATGCAACAACATTAATCATAAAGTAAACAAAAACAACACTTTCCATCCGGAGCTCCTTCATGGGACTCCACACTTGCTGCATCAAGCTCACATGTCTCTCACCTCTGCCCACACTCGTCAGCACTACCAAGATGACCAATCACAGAGCTTGCCCTACGCTTCGTTGCGGAGTGTAGTTACATTTTTTGAGAGGTGCATGTCAGCGTAGCCGATGGCTACAGCAAGGACTATGTGTCCATGCGTAGGCTGCACCGTAGCATACGTGTGTTCTTACAGCAAAAGTATAAATCAGCCTGAAAGGGCAGATCACACCAAACACACTATTTCCTTTTAAAAATGTGAGTCACACTACACTGTCTATTTTGTTGACAGTAAAAAAAAAAAAAAAAATGTGTGATGCGTTTTTTAAAGTCGATAGGCAATGACTGAATCAGCCGGGTATTGTGCATGATTGTTGATGTTGATATTGTTATAGTTTTATTATTTATTAATAATATTGTAAAATTCAAGATTTGTGAATCATACAGCATCGGATAACCCAAAACAGTGACCGCTAGCCTCTCCTCCATTTTCAAAAGTTTCCGTAGTCCTGACAACACAAACACTGCAGGCACTTCAATGGAAACCACGCCTCTGCTGTCATTTGATTGGACAATGAAAAAGATGCTACTGACAAAATGTGTTTTTTCTGCACAGAGTTTACTTTTTCAACTGAGAGCACAGTATGCAATGGCAAAAACAAGAGGTGCCTATGCCGTATAAACAGTGCGCAAAACGCTCGTCGTTAATAAATTGTGAAAAAAGCAACTCTCAATGCAAAAAGCATGTTTAGTGTGATTGGCCCATGAATGTACATTTTTGACCAATGTTTTCACTTTTAATGGCATTTCTAGAGAGATGTTAGAATTTTAGTAAGCAAATATTAGTGATAAGTTATCACCAAAGCTCTCTCACCAAAATGTAGTTTAATGTAATTAAATTGTTGTGCTGTCCTAAAAATATGTCTGAAATCACATTTTATGGCGCCTTCATGCACAAATGCTGCCTCTAGAGTCACTTTTTGGTAGGGTAGCGAGGGGAAGCCTAAGCTTTCGGATACAGCCAATGTTTACTTCTAAAGTCCTTTGTACACTACACTTTCTACATTACGTATCATGCATAGCCGCATCCGCACAGTTTTCAACTATATTCAACCATGAATAAACATGCATGGTGAATTTCGTCACATTTGCAGTATGATTTATTTTTTAATGCTTGAAAACAGAGGCCAGCACTGACTATGTCGCCTAATAAGTCACTCAATTATACTTAAGGTGCGTCCCAAATAACACGCTTATGAACTATTCTACACCATTTTGTAGTATAAATTATGTAAGTAGTGCATTTACACTGAAAACTAAAAAAATAATAAGGGCACTTTATTTCAACCGGTAAAATGAAGTGTGGAATGTTGGATAGTCAACGCACTCAATGGCCACAGCTTTGCTCACTTAGCCAAAAGGGCGAAGCTTTTGGATGCTCATGTTGTATTACTTTATTTATTTTGCATTGTGAAAGCCAAATTCACAGACGAGAGTAATTACACCGCCTCATGATGGTGAATGTGGTTATTCTCATGGCAGATATTATTTGGTACTTTCGTCATTTATTTCACTAATTTGAAAACCGTCAAAAATCAGGGAAACGGTTTGAGATTCCGCTTAGTAAAACAAAAAAAAATAATAAAAAAAAACATTAGTGTTCCATTTGGGACGACACTACATACATATACTATGCTATAGAGTAAGTGCAAAAGTACATAGTGCATAGGAGCATAGCATATAGTATGCCATTGGGACGCATCTATAGAGTTAAGAATCAAAAGAACAGAGAAGTACAGTTGAAGTCAGAATTATAAGCCCCGCTTCGTATTTATTTTTCTTTATTATTTTTTTTCCCAAATGATGTTTAACAGAGCAGGGAAATTTACACTGTATGTCTGATAATATTTTTTATTCTGGAGAAAGTCTTATTTGTTTTATTTTTGGCTAAGATAAAAGTTTTAATTTTTTTAAACACCATTTTATGGACAAAATTATTAGGCCCTTTAAGCTATTTTTTATTTATTTATTTATAATTTTTTTTTTGGATAGTCCACAGAACAAAGCATCGTTATACAATAACTTGACTATTTACTCTAACCGGCCAGGTTAACCTAATTAACCTAGTTAAGCCTTTAAATGTCACTTTAAGCTGTATAGAAGTGTCTCAAAAAATATGTAGTCAAATATTATTTACTGTCATCATGGCAAAGATTAAATAAATCAGTTATTAGAAATGAGTTATTAAACTGTTATGTTTAGAAATGTGTTAAAAAATCTTATTTTCGTTTAAAAGAAATTGGGGAAAAAAACAAAAAGGGGCCTAATAATTCAAACTTCAACTGTATATGCTGCTATTTTGGAAGAGGAACAGAGGAAAATGTAGAAGAACCAAATTGTGGGACAATTGAAGGGGGCAGAGTTTAAGCCAGGGATGTCCAACCCTCCCAACAGGAGTGAGCTGATGACCTCAAGAGTTTAACTCCAGCAAGCTCATACATATTTACCTTTGGCTTCTGGTGACTTTAAAAGCCTAGATTAGCTATTTTTGTGTGATTTTTACAGTTGTTGCTATATTCTACTAATATCAGTTTTTTTTTTATTTTTTATTTCTGGTTTTTGCTAAGTAGACAAAATGATATATGTCTTACTTGTCGATAGACATAATCTTGGCAAAAACATTGAATCTACTTAACTTTACAGATAATTTTAACTGTACATCAATTAAACTTAGACTTATACATGGACTTAAAAATTAACCCTGGTTAACTTAATAAAATACGAGTTAACAAAATCATAGGTTGTCGTGACTAAACAATCATATCCTGTATTACAGTGTAGGACATTTTGATTTAGCTTTGAGGATGGTCTATGAAAGATTGCTTTATGGTTTATAAAAAGATAGGTTAGGTTTATTAGCCAACTTCTGGGAGGTTTTTCAGGAAATGTGTCATCAAACATTTAGGAAGGTCAGACACACTCTCTCTCTCTCTCTCACACACACACACACACACACACACACACACACACACACACACACACACACACACACACACACACACACACACACACACTGTAACCTTTATTTATCAGTCTGCACACTCTTTTATCAGCTCAAATGTTAATCATTCTTAAAACTTCCTGTGCAGTTCTACCTGCAGGCGCGGTTGTCATGGCAAGGGGCACGGCTTCTACGACCGCTGCTGCAGTTCATGTTGGTGATGTTGGCAGTGTACACAGGACTCAGTCGCATTTCCGACTACCGCCATCACCCCACTGACGTCCTGACCGGCTTCTTGCAGGGAGGACTGACTGCTTACTGGGTGGTAAGAATCATGTCACCACAAGCTCTCAGCTCTTACTCTTAGGATCCACTTTCCATCAAAGTTTAACTATAATGTTGATCAAACTCACTCTGCTTTAGCCTTATAGACCCTAATTATCTACTTTTATATTATAGTGATTATCTTTTGACTTTGAAGATGTCAAAAGCAACTATCATGTAATGAATCCTATTAGATTGCAGTTTGGGTGACCTTGCAAATCAAGTTAGGACTGCAATCAATTCAAAATGTTTAAGGTATAAAAAGAGGTATAAAGCGAAAAGTGGACTATTACATGCGGAATAGATTTAGTTAAAAAATGTTAAAGATGCAGTGTGTAAGTTTGACACCCAGTGATTGAACATGGTATTGCACCCGTAGTTCAAAACACACGCAAGAGCAGGTTGCCAGATTGATGACGCCAACAAATACTGATTTAAGGTTGATTTAAATTGTGTTCCAAATAAAAGTAACGGCATGCAATAGAAGGAATATTTTCCATATTAAAAGCAGTAATGTCCAAACTAACACGTAAAATTGATATTTTAGAAACAACTTCTGTTTACTCACAGGTAAACAATGATCACCTCAGTTACATCACATGTGCTTTATTTAGTTTTTAATGCTACTAAAGTGAGTTTGAATGCCGTGTTATTAGACATTTATTGGCATACAACTGAAAACAAAAGCAGAGAGTTCAACTCAGATCTTGAAAATAAAAAAAACAAAACGTTTGAAATTGAACATTAGAACTGTGACTTAGTGGAAGCCAACACATATTAGTGACTCAGCATGTACATTTAATAATTTTAACTAGATTTAATATGTATTAATTAGATTATTAACCTTACAATTCCACTGAAGTGCAGTAAGCGCACTATTATGTGCTTTCGTTTGTAATATTTATGTTATTTGCTAATTAACAACCACTTCATGTAGAATCTAATTCTGCATCTCATTTCGGAGGCCTTTACTGTCCCTCGGAGGTCACGTTTCAGTTCTGGCACGTAATCCACATTTTCAAAGCAAAATATCTGACTTTAGCATTCTCACTTGGCATGCTTCTTAAATATCTGCAGACAAATAATGCTATTTTTATGCTTAAGAAGAGTCAAAAACTTACTCACAGCACCTTTAATATTAATAAGAATAATACTATTAATAATAGTATTTCTGTTTCACCAATGAAAATAATTCCAAACAAAGTTGTAATAGCACATTTGAATATTTTAGACAATGATTTAACCACCCGTAAAGACAGTGGACACTTTAACCTACTAAATGCAAAGCCAAAACAGTCTTGTGATAACTCTTTAGCTGCCATGTTTCAAAAAGCACCTTTTCGAGAGTATTGAATTTCAGATTCAGCCCATCACTTGCTTTGTTTCTAAACAATTTCCAATTTAAATAAGTCATTTGAACGAATGATTGAAAGAATGACGATGCCTTCAGACTACATTTTGTTATTGTTGGTTACGGCAGTCAGATTATCTGATTTGGATATTTTAAAGGATGCAACAATACACTGGGCAAATTTACTACCCTTTTATTATGTTAAGGATGAAAATATTTACTAAGTTAAACTGCTTTAAAAATGATAAAACATTCTTTCCATAAATCTGTTAATCAACCTCAGTCCTCACTAAAACTACTGAATTGCTTAAAAAAAGCTTAACTTCTAGATTTTTTAATATGGAGAATAACAGCAAATTAAAGTGTGTGCATGTGTGTCTGAGTGTGTGAGAGTGACCTTAATGCACTTACCTTGATGTTTCTGAGAAAATCAAAATATGCATCTCAGCTCTCAGAGCAACATGGAGTAAACAAAAACAAGGACTGTGTGTGTACTATATGCACCATCAAAAGTAGTTGCAGTTTATATATATATATATATATATATATATGTGTGTGTGTGTGTGTGTGTGTGTGTGTGTGTGTGTGATGCATTTTTGCAGAGGTTTCAGTGGACGTTTTCATCCTGACCTCAACAAAAAGGTAGTAAATTTGAACAGTGCACAAGGGTTAAAATTGAAATGTTATTATTATTATTTTTTTGGTCAACAATGCAAGCTGCAAGTCCGAGTTTGAATAATGATTTAGCTAAACTCTGCAGGAAAGTGGAGCTTGAGGGTAAACAATTGTTACTTTAAAACTGTTAGTGTACTGTACATTTTTCTTTAATTTATTCTCTGCTTGGTTGCAGGCCTTTTATATCTCGTCCATGTTTAAGACGTCTCGTCCAGACATGTCTCCAACAAGCTTGTCTCTGGAAAGTCCCCTGTCCAGCCAGCAGACCGTCTGCTAACAGACCTGCACACAGAAACACCTGAGGGAGACTAATAGTGAAAGCGCTAGTGATCGGGTATGGGACAAAGAACATGTTCGTGTCTTGACAAATCCTCAAAAATTTCCAGCCCACCCTAAGAGAAGAACAGTTATATATCATACATGTCTAACCCTTCGACAAACCCGTCCACAGTGTATCAACCCTCCTAGATAAATGATATTTTTATATAAAAAGTTTATCCTTTATATTTTTGAAAATATGTTATAGTTGAAGCTGCTAATATTTTTTGTTTTATCATTGGTCACCTGTAGTTCAGGCACAGAGATCCACACGTCTAAGGGATCGAACTCAACATGTCAAGCTTCGGCTCATGTTGAATATTAGAGGCCCAGTCCAATCAAGTTACATTGGACAAAAAAAAAAAAAAAAAAAAAAATTAAAATTATATATATATATATGGACCAATCACAACAACCCTTTATGGAGCCAGATCAGTCTATACAATACAATTCATTGATCCACAATACAAATCACATTCACAAATTCAATTAGTAAATTCAAAACATGATTTGAAAACCCACAAATTCATTTCATAAATACAAAACACGAATTAAAAAATACACAAATCAAATTCATGAATTCACAACGCCACTCATAAACACAAATCCAATTTGTAAATTGAAAACACGGTTTGAAAATATGCAAATCCAATTCATGAATTCAATACACGATTCATAAACACACAAATCCAAATCATGAAATTAAAAGCATGATATGTAAACACAAATACAATTCCTAAATTCAAAACACAATTCATAAATATGCAAATCCGATTCATTTGGTGAAAAAATTAATGACTTTTACTTTACAATACAAATTGTGTTTATAAATTTTGTAAATGTGAATTGTGTTGTGTAATTTTAATTTTGGAAACATTTAATTTTGAGACTTATCTGGCTCCACACCCTTTGGCCTCAAAGCACACCTCCTTTATGTCTGTTATTGGACCTGCCTAGACCACTGTTCTGGTGCGCTGTTGCACAATCATATTGGTGCCGATTGTAGACACCCTCTGTTTTTAAAAGCACAGATGCTAATGCTATTAAGCTTGTGTTGTATTAAAGTGGGCTAAACTTATTTGTACTAACCACTTTCACTGCATGAGTGTGACTGAAAGGAGATTTTAAACCTCCTCGTGCCCCTCCGCATATTGAGGGCAAAATCGTGGCCCGACGCTCGTCGTGGCCCGATGGGGGGTTTTATACCTGTGTACCCTTTACTATTCATAGCACTTGAATTACTCTACAGAATCGTCTAATTTTACAGATAATATTTTATATTTTGTCTTCTTTAATCAGTGTTTTTCTTTCATCCTGCAGTCAGTGCCATTTGTGTTCGTCTTTGTGTTTATTTTCCCCCCAAATTATAATTATTCAGAATGAATGTAAATAAAACATTTTATAAACGCTCCAGATTTTCAGAAGTATTAGCTCACGTTTTGTAAATTCTTGTTTTAAGTGTTTATACAGTATATATATATATATGTGTGTATGTTTTATGTTCATCAGGTACACAGAGTTATTGTTGCTAATTGTTAAAGAGACTAGTGACTGAGCCACAGATTGTCAGAAAGCTATATTCTACTTATTTAGTTTTGTTTCATTTGTTGGTTTCCCCTGTGAAAAGCCGGTTCGGCTGAAATAACCACTGTATTAATAAACCAAACCAATAAAATGAATGTTCAATCTTTGTATCTCCTTTTTCTCTCTATAATGGCAGAACTAACATTGCATCCACCCACACACCAATACACAACCCTTATGAGTACAGCTGCTGTAAAACATCTGACTGCAGCACATCAGATGAAAATTGTATCTACACAATTATCTGATATCTTGCTCAGCCTACAGAAAACATTATAGATTTTGTAATGGACTACATTAGCTAGCTGCAGAATAATCTGTTATGGTGCAAAGAATATTGTTGCTAATTTATTTAGATAAAAAAGTTTCTTTAATGTTCTACTGACTATATGCTGTATAAAAAAAATAAAAAAATAAAAAACAATATATATATTCTTAAATGACCTAAGGCTTAAACTGTGGTCCTTGATGATTCAGAAAAAATGAGTCATAACTACCAACACTTTAGGTCAAAAAACAAACACTCATTGGCCACTTAGGTGCACCTGTTCAATTGCTTGTTAATGCAATTTTCTAATCAGCCAATCACATGGCAGCAACACAATGCATTTAGACATGTAGACATGGTCAAGACGATCTGCTGCAGTTTAAACCGAGCATCAGAAGGGGAACAAAGGTGACTGAACATGGCATGGTTGTCTAATCAACAACAGGAAAGCAAGGATTCATTCTGCCTTGTATGAACAGTTCAGACTGCTGGTGGTGGTGTAATGGTGTGGAGCATATTTTCTTGGCACAGTTTGGTACCATTAGTACCAATTGAGCATAGTGTCAATGCCAAAGTCTACCTGAGGTCCATCCCTTAATGACGATAGTGTACCCCATCATTTTTAGCCATCTTCTGATGGCTAATTCAAGCAGGATAACACATTATGCAGAAAAACTATATTAAAAATAATCCAACAAAGTGCAAGCTATTTAACCCAACTGGTTGAGTTATTAATAAATAACCTAATAAAGGTTAAAAATAATCCAGCAAAGCACCAAATATGTTTAACTCAACCATTGGGTTAAATAAATAACTCAATGCTTTTTAGAGTGTAGTAAGAGCTTTTTATTTACCCGCCCTCGCCTCCTTAGTATTCTATTGCTACATTGCGCATAGGAGATAAATGACATCAGTACGTAATAGCTGGTTATGATTATTACTAGACCGTTATTGATTTGTCCCTGTCTGCATCACAGTGCACCAAAGAAACAATTAATTTTGTCAACCCTATTAGCTAACAGTGACCATATCCTCTTTGGCTATATGCCAATGATGTTTTACACCCTTGGTTTCCTGGCTTAGTTTAATAGAATACAGGGAAACACCAAATATTCTTCTTTTTTGTCATGCTATTATTATATTTTTTTAAATGAATTTAGTAAAATAAAAAAAGTGTTCCTTCTGCTGATCATTGCACACTCAAGTCTTGTTTTCATCCAGGGCTCGAAATTAATCTTTTTGCTTGGTAGCACCGGTGCTCTTAACTCTCTTTGGCACTTCAGCCAAAATTTAGTCGCATTTATAAGCACCGTTACTACAAGTTTTATACATACATATTTATTGCAATTAAATAGTAAGATGTGTCATTATTTGTAACTTTAGATGCCATAGTTTCTAAAACAAAATCTGTCAGTGTAATCTTCATTCTCATTTTCAGTGCTTTAGTTTTTCGCGGTACTTGCTCTCTCTGTCATCCCAAGTCAGAAGGCACTGACTGAGTGATTGACAGCTGATATTTCAGTTCTATTGCAGTGGGCCAATAAGAAGAGCGCGAAGGCGGGGCAAGCATTACGGACTTGGCTTTGTCTACTGCAGCAAGTTGACATGACAACAGTTTTAAACCATTCCTGAGCGCTGTGTTTCAAGTGCAGAGATGCATTCTGCGTTAATGTCTCCCAAATCCGCGCTTGTGGTGAACATTTTGCAGTAAAAACTGGTCGCACACAATTTTTTGTACTCGCACAAATGCTCCCAAATATATTTTGAGGTTGCAGAGGTAAAAAATTCGGGCGCATATGCGACCAAAATGGTCGCAATTTCGAGCCCTGTCATCATAATACTCTTTTGTTTGTTATGAGTGTGCTCCCTCTAGAGGTTAAATGACATACTGTGTCAAGAATCTCAAAATATCACTCTTTTGAGGACTGTTTGCTGAGGCTGTAAATTAAATGTATGTAATATGATTAAACTGCAATGTATGATCAGGAGCTAAGGGGTATTCATTTTCTTTTGCCTGTACATGCTTTTATGTCTCTCAAAGCACTGAAAGCCCCTAAGTTGCATTTTTTCAATCACCCAGATTGTGGATCAGCCAAAAATAAATGTAAATGTTCTGTTGAAGAACAACAAGCCCAAAATTGTTCTTTTGTCATATGAAAATCAATCTAAAATTGACGTTTTGATTTGCATTCAGCAACAATAAATGGCGATCTGTCAGAAATCGCACTACAGAAAAACAGCATGTCATGTGACTGAAGGCTGATTTATATTTCTGCGTCAAACTCCGTACTATGCTACGGCGCTGACGCATAGCCCTTCGCCGTGGCCATTGGCGTCGCTGACGTGCACCTCTCAAAAAATGTAACTACACGTCGCAACGACGCGTAGCGCAAGCTCTGTGATTGTTCGGCTTGGTAGCGCTGACGAGTCTGGGCGGGACAGAGAGCCACGTGAATGATGCAAGCCTGATGGAGCGAAAGACTAGCGAAAATCCCGGAAGTGGTCAACAAAACAAAACAGCAGCAAAGAAACTCTACACAGAGGAGCATTTACCTCACTGCCAAATACCGTTTCGGTAGTGTTAATGCAGACCAACAGAGACAACGCGCAGAAGTATAAATGCACAGCAACGGCCGTTGCATGCGCCGATGGTTTCGCTGGTCACTTGACGCAGAAGTATAAACCAGGCTTTAGCCAAAGCACATCATTGGCTAGACTAAGGTATTCTCTTTACAAAAAAAATAAAATTAAATAATAATAATAATAATAATAATAATAATAATAATAATAATAATAAAAATAGAATGTTGGTCTTTAAGAAACAGAAATGAACATAAATCTCATGTTAACACCATGCGGTAGAGGCTTAAGTTTTTAATTATGCTACTCCAAAAAATCACTACATAGAAATCATCAGATTCTTTACAAAATTCTTAACAGAAATAGATAAAAAATGTCTGCAGATTCTGTCTGGCCATACTGTTGATTGATATCTTACAGATATTATATTTAGTAGTTTAAACTGAGATAATAACGGCATCAAAAAAAAAAAAAACGCACTTTGAGTCCTGAGGTCCTCAAAAAAAAAAATAAATGTAAGGGCTTCTGTTTTTAGTAGAAAACAATGATGCAAGCCCCTTATTCTTGACACCACATGAATAAATGATATGTTGAAACATACAAAATTCCTAGTTTTTATTATATTTTTGTTTGAAACAAAATGCAGCCTTGAGAATAAGAAACAAATAGCCCATTAGAACACAAAACTTATTCTGAATGACTTTCAATGGAAAAGAATGCTTCTTGCTGCTAGATGTTGTACTTACTACGAGGATGAGCTGACTGCTAATACTAACAAGTCAAACCTTGACCCTTTGAACAATGAAAAAACAACACAAATACAACACAACAGATAAGCAATGCAAGGCTGATTCAAAAACAGAACTGTTGTTCTTTGAACACCCCCTCTCATGTGTTAAAAATCCGCAGCGCAAAACCTCTCAAGGCTTATTGCTTCAT